GCAGAACTTGAGCTCATTAGCAGGAGACAGATTGAACAAGGCGGTGCATGCGTGTTTGTGAGTGTGTGTGGAAGTTGGCTTGCTCTTGTCACCCTGTCAGCTTCGGCTAAAAGAGTCCTGTGCATCCTAACTCTTGCAGTCTAAACAAAGAAGAATGACCATGGATTTTTCCCAGCTGCACACATACTCGCCACCACAGTGTGCTCCGGAGAACACCGGCTATACGTACTCTCTCAGGTGAGACCTCAGCGCTGCGCTACGGCGGCTGCAGACACAGCATGCATGTCATTTGTGGATCCAGGCAGCACAGAGACTTAAAGCAGAATGAAGTGAAGTTGTCCTTGAGATCCTGCGATTGCTTTTTTCAATCAGTTTAAGACTTAAGACCAGAGTGATGCCGACTTTAATGCTGGTATTACAACAGTTTTCATTCTGCTCGGGTTATTGTGGCATCGTAATATAATGATAACAGTTTCTACGTTTATTCCTACTCGTGCACCCGTGTTCAGGATGCTTTAATGGTTCAATCCTGTTTGAGATGGAGATGGGCTGCACGTATGAGATGTTTTTAGATGTGCGTACAGAGTCGGTTAACTTTCTACAGGTTTTGTAAATCTCTTCCTCTCTTCTCTAAAAATATGCAGTGGTTGTGGTTTTGATGAGTCAGCCTCACGATTCCACTGAGCTCTATGTTTGTATTCGGAAACTGGGGGGCCGTGCACATGGTGGAAGCAGAGCCTGAACCCAAGAGTTGTTTGTGCTGCGTGGACTTTTACCACGTTGTAGAAACAAGAGGCATCAGGCAACTTCAGCTTTTCTTTTTGGTTTAATGTTGGAAACACATGCCGCTCCTGTAGCAGCAGCCTCTCCCATCATTCATTGTTTCTGGTGTTCCTCGTCATGCTGCAGGCGTGGTTGACATTTCATCAGGAAGGTCTGAGCATGTGGAGGAATGCTGTCTGCGGTGCTGTCACCGTTGGTGTCGGTACTTATCAGAACAGAGAAAGTCTTTTGGGCGTGTAGGTCAGGAAATTTCAGTTTCATCTTCCCCCCCCCCGTGCTCTGCTCGCTTTCTGGCTCGAGGGTAAAGAAGCGTGACTGTTCGGGGTATCATTTAGGGGAGGGTACGAAATGTCTCGTAAAAAAATCGAGTTTGAACACGGAGCTCTCATTAGGTTTACGGCTGTCTCTCGCAGAACGCTGTGAGAGGTGCATTCAACGGGCCAACGGGCCTCTTTCCCACCGAGCCAAACAAATTCAAACTGCAGTCTTATCAGAATAATAAATACTTTATTGATCCTTGAGGGGAAATCGCTTCAAAGTCTTAAATATATAAACAGTACAAAATATATAAACACGAGTCTGAAAATGGAAGCACAAGTAGAAACACAACAAGCATAAATGAGAAATGTGCTTTTCCTCAGAAAACAAAGTGTAAGTATTCGGTGTCATAACTGGCACGCTGTGAGCCGGTTGTATTAGTTCAGCAGCGTTTCTGTCAACCTGAGATTTAGAAGAGCAGGTTGGTGTTGCATCATAATAAAATGGCCAAATCTTCTCGTGATCTCAGGTCGGCTTTGTGTCTGACAGGCTGCGTTCTAGTCTCAGCACCAGATCTTATGAGTCACCCGTGGACCGAGGCGAAGTTAGATGAATGTGCAGAAGCTCGTTTGACGCCCTGCTGGAATCCAGCAGGTAGACTCAGAGGCTGGAACAAGCTAATCGTGTTTCTTTGAATGTAGTCAGCTGAGAGGCTAATAATGAACCTCACAGTCACAACCGTGGCCCTGATCCCAGGATTACACTAATAGTTTCTGCTTCTTGACTAGCTAGTTGGGAGATCTGTGGTTTTTATTAGCCGGCGTCTACTGCAGCAGAGGAACTGATCACTGGCAGCTCAGTTAACTGAGGACAGTTGCACCCGTTGCATTGTGAAGAAACAGTAGGACAGCGGGGCAGTAAGTGTTTGCTGCTTGTTTAAAGCTGCAGCTGGCAGTGTTCAGGCATTACACGGTGTGTGTGTGTGTGTGTGTGTGTGTGTGTGTGTGTGTGTGCGCTCATACAGACGGGGTCAGGTGACAGAAACCGTTGGCCCATCTGTTGTCAAAACTCAAAAGAGCAGCGACAAGTTTTGTGGCCTCAGAGAAAGAGGACGAGGAGGCCAGGCGTCATGCTCTGGGGCCAACTTCACGGCCGGGACCACCAACCCGGTGCTGGTTTAATTAATATTGTGAATAGTTCAGGGAATCACGTTTGTGTGCAGATTTACAACCTTTGGGCGTTTTCTGTTTCCTCCACTTCCTCACAGCTGCTTCAGCTCTGGACCGACTCTGGTGGTCAGAGAGGCAGCGATGTGTCTCCCTGCAGGAGGTCCATTTGTGTCGTGTTGAAGATGTGAAAAGCTCAGCTTCAGTGCTCGCTTGTTCTACACATAAGCTAATTCTGTAGTTTGTTTTTTCAAGAATGTCGAGTCATTCAGACAAATTTGTGTTGTTCTCATTTATTTTATGGATCGGTCACAAAACCTCACAGAGATCACTTGGAGTTGTTGCATTAGAACTTATTTTTAAATGTTTTTTATTATATACTGTTTACTAAGTGGATCTAAAATGTGTTACAGTTCATGTGTTGCTTCTTTGATTGGTGGTATTTTAGGAATAAAATGATGTCGAGGTTTAAAGAGTGGAAGATAAATGCCTTTAGTTGTTTGTGAATCTATTTGGATAAAACTACAAGACGCACTGGAACAGATGGAAATACAACAATTTGAATATTATGTGCAACATCCACACATTCAGACGCTCTGAAAGTGGTCTGGCGTTTACACATGCACTGATAAGCTCTTGTGGTTTAAATCAGTCGTAGGTTGCACGCTGTGGCTGCAGCGCCTTCAGAACAACAGGCCGACTGCACCCGTACAGAGCAGGTGCAAGTGCTGAGTTGTGACTTGCACAGACCAGACCTTCATATTTTATGATGGTGGAAGTGGGTCAGTGGAGCTGGAGCCTCTGGTTGGAGGTTGAACTGGGACAGTGGTAGGGAGCCTTGGTGGAGTTATCTGACACTGTGAGTGGACTTACAACCTCAGACATATATCCATGTAGAGATGGATTCAAACTGGTGTTTATTTACGAAATACAGCTCAGTTTCTTACCGGTGAGTCACACTCTGCTCCGACGGCGCTCATGGACGCAACCGGAGCTCCAGCTGGACGGCAGCTGGACGGCGGCTGGATGGCGGTTGTCCTCGCCAACCAGTTGTTTTGACATGTGGTCCCAGCGTGTTTCAGTTTGAGCACCTCCAGCCAAGAGCACCGCAGCAGGGTGGAGGAGAGTCGGCCCGCGACTTGGTTGCTTCTCGTGAGCATCACAACAACACAGACGTCCGTCTGCCAGCCCTCTGCTGCTGATCGGTCTGTCTGCGGCCTGTTTTGCGTGGTCTCCACGGCAACCACAGCGACGTGAAAGGACACACTATAGTGCTGTAGCGTGGAGAGTGAAGGCCACCGCAGAGAGAGCGGGGCTGGAGGAAAGAGCTGTCCGTGGGAGGGAAAATGAGGAGCGATCCTCATCACGCTGCCAAACCCTGCTGCATGGAAACTGTGCCGGCCTGGTCCCAGATTCCTGGCCTCTGGTAAATATAGAGCTCAGGACTTGAGGGGAAAGACCCTCTCCCATGTGAACAGTTCAGAGTGTGTTTGTGCCTTTTTTAAAGGCTCGTGCAGCTGAAATCCAGAGAACAAACTGAGAGGAATATAATTTCAGCAAACACAGCAGCACGGTCCCACCGCGTGGCAGGGAGGACATTCAAGTAAATAGTTGGGGATGGATAGTATAGTACTCAGCGTGCTTCAGTCTCTAAAATAATTTGCTGCTGGCAGTGATCTAGCCCGTAAAGATCCAGATCCAGTGTGGTTGCATCAGATGTGCTTGGGCTTGCAGTATTCCCACAATAACACGTTGTGTGCTGCGTATAAGAGACGAGGGCCAAAAAGAATTGATTTTGTTTCGTTGGATTAATGAGCTAAACAAGCAAATTCCATTTTATCAGGTTGCAGTTCCAGATTCACTGCTATAAAATCATGTCGGTGCTTATTTTTATCTGCAGTATGCTCCGGCTCACAAATTATTTAGTTTTGGCTTCTCCTAAAAGTTTAAATCTTTGTTTTCATGTGAAGGTATGTGCCTTCTGGCAAACCTTCAGCAACCTTTTGCAACCACACTTGTGGTTTTGAGGCTGAGATTTACGACCCACCGCGTGGTTTTGTGTAATTTCGAAGATATGTGTGCGTATCTGACAAAGTGTTGGACTACAAATGGTAGCCAGCATTCATGTGGAGCTCGTTTCAGTAGAGCCTGAAGCTCAGCGTAGGTCCTCACCTGATCACTTTCTCTTCTTCTTCTACACTTGGCAGAAATTTCTTTATTTATTTTTGGACTTTTTTTTTGTCCTCCATGGCAAAACATAATTTCTTTCTTTCTTAAAATCAAATATAAAAATCAGTCTAAGCACCAACTGCAGCTCGGTTCAGTCCAGTGGCTCTGGGATGGGATGGGATCAAAAGTCACATCAGTCTAGGCGCTTACAGAGGACGAGACTGCAGAGATCAACTGTTGGACTTCTGAAAACAGGCAGCACTGTAGCAGCAAAGTACGAACAGTGGACGTCGTGGAGGAGCAGGACTGTGTGATGTGTGTTTTCTCCAGCAGACCAAACAGTGAAAGAAGGTCATTGTCCTTCCCTGTCAACTCGATGTTTACGTGGTGTCTCTTGGGAGCTTTCTGTGTGCTTTGTGATAGGACATCATTTTTTTTTTGCATACTCCATGCAAAGCAGGCAGTGCGTGGGCGGGTGGCAGGACACTAAACGCAGCGCCGGAGGAGTAGAATCACCAGAAGCCATGTCACTGGAGTTGCTTGTTTTTTTTTGACATGGAGTGATTCGTCTGCTGTGTCTCTCTGGGCAGTTCTGAGAGACATGATGACGAGGTATGTTGTCTTGATGAGCTGAGCGGTTAGAGCCTTCACCCCGTGGGCAGATACTTTCTCAATGATGCAAGCACATTCATCATGTTACATCTACACCTGGATGAGACCCAGTCGCTCCGTCTGGGGGCCGATTGGAAGATCTGATCCCACAGAACGAGTCTTAAAGCTCTAGTTAAAACAGGCGAGGGGAGGGATGTTGTTTACTCGAATGCTTATTTGTAGAGCTAGCCTGAGCTTTATTTATCGATTAGTGACTTTATAAAATAGTGTGTTTGGTCTGATCAACAGTCTAAAACACAGTTCGCTTTCGGAGAGGCACTATAAGTCTAACTACTGATCACCTGATGGTTTAACAGCCTGTACTGCATCAGGTGTTTGGTTATGAAGTCCGTCTGATTCTTCATGTGTCGTCCCTCGATTGTGATTGACGCCACGCTGCGTTCTGCCCGGTAAGCAACTAATACAGCAAAACATGAGCTGGTGAAATGCAGAATCACATCAGATTGTGCGTGTAGTTGTGAGAAAGTTTGGCTGTGCCCACTGAGTGTGGGAAGAGAATCAAAGCTTTAGTGTTATGTAAGGAGAGATTCCAGGAAGCTGAATGTCAGGATGGAAGCGTCTTCTTTCTCTGTACTGTATGTCTGTCTCTTCATCTGTGTCTTCTTCACTCACTCCTGAAAGCACTGTGTCCGTCTCTATTTATAGCGCCGGTGTGGGCTGTGAGAGCGACACACGGATCCGTTTGGATCCGCAGAACGAGTGCAAAGAGTTTGCAAACTAATTAACGACGTTTTGCAGCTTCTGAGGAGACAGGCTGAGAGTTTAACCGTCACTAGTTGGTAGAAACAGACCTTCAGCGGTGGCGGTGTTCAGATGGAAAGCTATGGGACGGCTCATGAGTTGCCAGGTAGACTCGCGGGTTATTTCATGTTTGTGTTTGGCTGCAGGCTACGCAGACAGACTGGTGTGTTTTCTTTCTCACACACACCCTGCAACGCTGCTTCCACACCCCAGGCAGTCGCATTACTAATAAACCCCAGATCATCATGTCCTGGGATGATGAACAGCGTTGTTTCTGTGCCAGGATTAAACCTGGAAACAAGCGTTTGTAGTTTTGTCAGCTGTGCAGCTGCGTATCGCTGCTGTGACGTTCGCTCTCGCTATCCACTGGACGAACTGCTTTTAGGCTCATGTGGCCTCCTGAAATTACGTTTTCATCAAAGTCTGAAGCATTCAGAACACATGAGCAACTCTGCAACGCCTTACAGCCGTTTGCATTTCAATTCTAACAACTGGTGCTGCGGATGTCGTGGAAAATGTTGTGTTGAGGGCTCCACCAGCGACTGGTCATGCTGATATTCCACATTTGCCCAGTATTGGTGTCATTATTGCTTTTTATAAAAAGCTTGATGATAAGTTGATTTAGAAATGTGCTGCTTTGACTCAAAATCTGATTAGTTCCATGCCATGAGTAGCAGCCGATCAGTAGCTTGTAAAAAGGCATCAATTAATTTAAAAACCATAAGTTGTGTTAATCTGTCACTAAAACACTCAAATCTGCAGTTTGCTGCCTTCTGAAATGATTGAACCTGGTTCTACCGTATAATCTGGTAAAGCTGCATGTTTGTGTTTGTTTCTCTTCAGGATGTTAGTCTGCAGTTATGTGAGCCCAGGAGGGTTTTTCTCTTCCACACATACACACATACAGGTGTTTAACAGTCGCACAGGTTTGTTTTGTCACGTGGTTTTACTCTGTCATGGATTTTCCGGCACACATCGGTTTATCGTGCAGCTCCTCGACGTCCGTTTGGTTCATATTTGTTGTGATTTTGCTGACAAGTGGAGGCTTCAAGCTAAAACGCAGATATCTGAAGTAAACAGTCAGCGCAGACTCTGGTCTTAAGCATGTCCTCATGTCGTCCCTCCTTGGCAGTCGCGGTTCTGCTCTGGTCATGTGTTGGATGAGCAGGCGGGAGGCAGAGTGAGGACGAAAGCACATAATTGGCTCCCACTGAGAGCGTGTAATCCTCGGGGTTTAAAGCCAGAGGGAAACATGCATGTTACATGTAGAAAAGCATGCACACACCACTCATATTGCTCAGCTGCTTGGCCACCGTTTGTCCCGGATCACATGCTGTGTGCAACGCTGTGCAGGGGTCACTGACTGGGAGCTCAAAGCAGCCAGTGAAGGACCCTCTTTTTCAAGAGCGTAACAGGAAGTTTATTGCCTGTCCTCCAGTGACAGATTAAATCCAAATGTCGACTCTGCAGACTTGCAGGAAAAACCTTGAAGAACCGTTGACTGCTGTGAGCACCACTGTTGTAAGTTAGAAGTAAAAGCAAATCAGTTTTTGAAAAGAAACGCCTGTAAAAGATTTCCCTGCTGAGGAAGAGGCCACGATCCTTGTATTTTTGGCATCGTGTCTTGTTGACAGCAGCTAGGGAACAGTTATAGCTTTACAATGGCAGCAGTGAGTTGTGCAGTTGCTGCCCAGTTGCCTGTTGTTCAGTGTGCGCTCTGCCAGGTGGGTGTGGCCCCGTGAGTCAGTAAAACATGGCACAGAACATTCCTGGTGTGTTTCCACTTACGCTCGGCTTTGGGTTGCAGTGAGAAGAGCGGGTTTTTTTTTCTCTTCCAGCCTACTAGCATACTTGGGGATGTTTACTTGCTTTATTTGTGCGTTTTTGCTTCCAGAGAGGCTCTGCGCCTATTGTTGTGTCGTGTTTTCTCTCTCCCTTGTGAGTGAGTCACTTCCTGTCAGGAACGCTGCCAGTTGCAGGAAGCGGCAGCATCGCAGCTCTATGAAAGGTCTGTTTGTTTTTGTTTGAAAAAGAAAGAAAAGAAAGTGTCTCTGAAGTTGTCTGGTCGAAGATGAGATCCATCAGGAAAAGTAGGATTTCCCCGTCAAGGCTGATTTGGGGCTTTGAGGCATTTGAGGACTGTTTGTCCCCAGACATAAGAAACGCCCCACTTTGCAGTTAACTGTCATGCAATACCTCCTTCCATTGATTTGTTTTTTTCCCCCTAACTTTCTAACTTTCCCTCTTCTCTCTGCTGTCCTCCCTCCCGCCTCCTCCAGCTCCAGCTACTCCACAGCGGCCCTAGAGTTTGAGAAGGAGCACCAGATCGCTCCCGTGTACGAGTCGCCCAGGATGTCACGACGGAGCCTCCGTCTGCAGACCAGCGCCGGTCACTATGGCAACGAGAGCCCGGCCGATTACTCCCAGAACCACAGCAGCTCCTACTCCAGCACCAGGAAGGAGACACGGTGAGGCCGACGCTCCTGTCTCCGTCGGCTCACAGCAGCAGATTGTTTGTGTGTTTACTCCTGTCTGGTCGTGAGTCTGCGGGTCCTTCTGACGCCCACACACATCGTATTTGCGAGTAGTCGAGCGTGCACTCGCGTGGTCTGTTTCCAGTGACGGCCACAGTGCTCGCTGAGATGTCACTGGTTGGTGTGAGATGAGACGCGTTTGAGGGTATTCGGTGACGTGTGCAGGTCGATCGAGCTCAGACGGCGTGTTGGTTTTGTGTAATTCCTGCATAATGAGCGTGACAGTCTCAGTTACATTGAGATGAAAAGTATTCCATCAGCTCAGAAGAGTAATGAAGCAGTTACTATGCACCGAGCTTCACCGTGTACCAGTGAGTCACGGGTTTGTTATTGTACGTTTTTCTGAATCGCTCTAAAAGACTTAAGTCGTAGCTCGCTGAGGTTGCATATGGATGTCAGTCTTGTCAATGTGGTTAAAAAGAAGAGACGTTTTTTTGTTTAAAATGTATTTGTTCATTTGGGCCGATTGTTGGTCATCAAACAGACTAATATTTGGAAGCGTCTTAGCAGCATGTGACAGCAGAGAACCAGTCATGACTCAGCGTCTTCATTAATATATACGTGGATATATAAAATAGACACAGGAGGGATTAAATCAGTCTTCTTCATTTTCTTAATCTTTCTCTGTTCGATCACTTTAAATGCCCACTGAGGTCCTAAAACTTCAATAATTGTTTTGTTCCAGAATCTGTGGCTGCCTGCTAACTTAGCCGCTAGCTGTTGTGACAGTTTGAGTTTTTCTGCATCAGACGTGCAGCATTTAATTTATCAATAATCGGTTAATAAAATTGCAGATACCAATAATCGTTAAAATGCCAAATATAATCTAACTCTAAGTTTCTATTCTCACCATCTGTGGAGATTTAGTTTTTTAAAGTTTGGACACAGTCTTCACGTTGAGTCCAACATGTCGTGAACTTTTGTCGAGTCTTTCTGGGAACAAAACCAGCCCAGCGTGCCATCTGGACTCTGGCGGCTGAGGAGAACCGTAGCTGTGAACAGTGCTTCAGAGTGTGACTTCAATGTGGGCCAAGTGTAGCTGCAGCCGGGACAGATCTTCTGCATCTCCGCCGCTCGCACAGACACAACAAAACTCACGTCTCTACCTGTTTCTTATCTCGGCCGTCTCAGGACGCAGCGCAGCAGAAAGCAACAGTCCACCTCCGGCTCTCTGTCTTTATCCCTGAGCCAAGCCGCCACGCCGAGGAAGACCCTGTCCTTCTTGGCCGTCAGCACCCCGATGACCAACAGCAGCAGCTTCCAGGAGAGCAGCGCAGCGTCCGAAGCCTCCCAGCTCACCTCCGCCCTGGACCAGTCCCAGCTGAGGCATCGCACCACCATTACCACCACCACCACCACCACCTCGGTGGACGGACACTGGGGTCAGCTCAAAAACTCCTCCTTTACATAGAAGTTATTCAGTGCGTAAGAACATGAACCCTAACCCTACATCGGAGGTTACTTCTTTAGCGAACTTACTGTTACGTCGTCTGCAGCACAAAGGAAGACGAACTCATGCTCTGTGAGTTACTAGACTTTGCATATCCAGTCTCAAACCCTGGAGTGTGTCATTAGATAAAGTGTAAATGAGGCACTGCTGTGGTAACAAGTGAAATTCAGCAGTAGCAATACAAACCGCAGTTGTATGAAAGAAATGGAAACAAAAGAAAATAATGCTGGTTAGGGTTAGAATGAGATATTTTCAGCATGTTCAGTATAAAAGAAGAGCTGCATTCCTGTGTTGTTTAGCGGCTGTATTAATTCTAACACAGTGAATTAGACGATGATCGTTGTTAATCTGCTTTGACACTGAAACGCGGCCACCCTTCATTACAATGTTTTACCACCTCAGATATTTCAATGTTTGGTTAATAGCAAAGTAGTAATTTATGCCGCTTGACTTTATCTTTAATTTAGACAACGATCGATGACTCCAACACTGAGAGGAATATAAATTTGTAGGTGTGTTACTGGATCATAAACTCATAAAGTATATAAGAGCAAAGTCTCATTACTACGATTCAGAAGCCTCATTTTTACTGTTTTTACCAACACGACTTTACATCTTTACTGCTGTAGTTACAGTCGTAACGTGTGACATAATGAGCATATTGTTTATTATATTATTATTATTTTATAAAACAAATGCTCTGAAATGTATTGATTTGGTTAAATTCACTTCCTGATAACGTGCAACATCTGTTCAGAAGCAACACTGGAAACTGAATTAGGAGGAAGTTGTAATTTTATAGTTAAACCTATGATGTGATAAAACAGTTTAAGAAAATCTGCAAATTAAACATCCGTCTGTCATCTAGACAGTGCTTCATCCTCACCAGGGTCATGGGGGGCTGGAGTCTATCCCAGCTGACTCGGGTTCTAAATTGTCCGTAGGTGTGAATGTGAGTGTGCTTGGTTGTCTGTCTCTAAGTGTAGCCCTGTGATAGACTGGTTACCTGTCCAGGTGAACCTGCCTTCACCCTGAGTCAGCTGGGATAGACTCCGCCCCCCTACTGAGGATGAAGGTGTAGAGATGATGGCTGGATGTCTCTTTTGTCCGTTATGATACGGCGGCGTGTCTGGAATAAACCAACTAAATAAATCAAATTGCACGAGTACTTCATGACCTCATCCCTGTGTGTATTCGTCTTTTCTCGTCCCCCCTCAGGCCACAGCTCCAGCCTCGGCTCGTCGAGCGTCAACGGCGACGCCAGCGTCTCCAAGTCCCACAGCTCGCGCGCCAACGGTTACATCTGCAAAGACTGCTCTCTACACTCCCAGAAGACGGACTCCCACGTCACACGGTCTTCATCTTCGTTATTGTTGTCATCGTCGTCGTCGTCATCTCAAGCTGCCGAAGCCTCCGCCGACGTCCTCTCCTCCTCGTCATCGTCGCCTCTCACCAGCATATACACCAGAGACCGGAGTCGGAGGAGCAAGACGGGTGAGGAAGGCTCACATTCAAGATGCACGATGCCGTTTCTGTCCACATTTGTCCTTCTAACTGCTGAAGGTTGTCTTCACATGATGAGAATATAATTGGCCGTGGTGTCTCCCTCCAGGTGTCCTGGTGTCAATATCTAACACGTGTATGCGCTACAGCAAACAGGCCGCGGCCCCCATAGTGTCCTTAGTCAGCCTGCTCTTCAACAGTGTGGTCTGGCTGGGCTCGAGGGCCAAGAGCCCTCCAGGAAAAGGTACATACCATCATCCTTTACCCATCCCTCTCTCCTTTACTTCTCCCCCATCTCTTGGCTCAGAGGGAGGTTCTCAGTGATGAAAATCTGACTCCAAGAGATCTGTGCAGCTACTATGAAACCTCCTGCTTTCTGTCTGAGCAGCTTCTCTTCAGCGTTCCACCAGTCTGTTCACATTTCAGCCTTTACAGCCTTTCCTCCTCATGTACATCCCATAGCTTCCTGTTGTCTTCTTCTCGAGGTCTGTTTCTGTCTTTCATCAGGTCACCAGTGTTTTATTTGTAGCTGTTTGTCTGAAGCCGTGACCCGAGTGTGCACCTTCACTAACAGTCGTATGTCACCAGGTGTCCTCGTGTCGTTCATGGACTCAGTGAGACAAGCGGCTTCTTCCAGTTTGTCCCAACTGAGGCTGTTTAAGCAGAACGCTCTCCACAGGATGACGGGCTACAGAGCCGATGGCTATGAAGGACAAGGTACCCGCAAAGACTAAAGCTCCAGACATCTCCTGCTCATCTTCTTCTAATCAACTTTTCTCACACAGTTTCTCTCCTGCCTGCTGTTTTTTCTTTTCTTTTCTTTAAGAAGAACGAAGCGTAGCATTGAGATGATGCTGTCTTTAGAAGGACTCTCTGTTTCTCTCTCAGTCCACCCAGCCTTCACTCTGTCACTTTTGCCGGCTCTTTTTCTGACTGAGAAATAATTTGCTAAATGAGATTAAACGCTGAAGCACCACTTCCTGACTTTGGACAACACTGTCACATGATGAAGTGCATGTTTGAAGCCTGTACGTTGACCAGAGGTTGTGTCCTCAGATGAACTCCTCCCTCTTGATGACTCTGCATTTTTTAAAACTCGTTTTTTTATTAGCGTGCGTCTGCCATGTGACAGTAATTTCAGTGTGTTAGAGGTCAGTTTTGTTTCTGATATCCTGCTGCTTTGAGCTGGTTCTTTTCACAGCTGCAGGAGAGTTTGATCAGGTTTCACCACATTTCCTTCCTCCTGTTTCTGGCCGTCGCCGCCGTCTCTTCTCTCACCTGCTCTCGTGCACCTCTGTTCTCTCTTTTTCTTTCTCTCTCAGAGCTCCTCAGCCGTGACATCGGTGACGCGGCACTTTCTCATCTCCGTCGTCCACCTTTGTGTTCACCGCGGTTTTCTCACGTTTTTGTGATGCAAATAAATGTGTTGTGTGTTTGTTGCAGCTCACTCGAGTTTCTGTGGAAGCATGAATGTGAAGGATCTGGTGACTGAAGACGCATCACATCTTAATCTCAATGGTTCCCTGTGTAAGCAGACGCACACAAACCACAGACACATGTCCTCCCTCTTTCTCCCTGTGCCCGTCCTCTCACTCCTGATTGGCAGAGTTAACGATATGCGTGACCCGTGTCAGGATCAGCGAGCAGAGGTTGTGTGAACTGCTTTAATTAGTCGGCAGCCTGTTGACCTGCAGAAGCTTCTGTTTCACTCCAGTTTGTACCTCAGACCTATTTCAAGGGTCCAGTTCAGCGCCACGACTCACTGTGCTGACGTTAAAAGGTTAAAAAGCTTCAGTCGACTTTTAGTTTCTAATTTAAATCACATCAGCAAATCAGATGTGATGCCAGAGGTCAAGTCGCTGTTGGCTTTTACAGCAGGCTCTTCAATTTAGGAATGAAAGACGTTTTTTTTTAAAAAGTAGTTTAAATGAAAAAAAAAAAAAAAAAGGAAAATGACAGAAACAGGCTCCGACTACAAGCAGCTTTTTTACATCATTAGCTGACTTTTCATAGTGACGACATTCTAACTGCTCCTTTGCCTTTAAAACGACGTTATAAAAAAATACATTAAAAATTACAATTAAGCAAATAATAATTATTAAATAAATAAAATACAGAAATACAATATTATTATTTTATTTATTTGTCTTTATATTTCTACTTTTATTCGCCTTTTCTTTTATGTATTCATTTTTGGTTAATAATGCTTTACATTGCCACATTATTTATTTTTAATTTGATTTATTCTTCTTTTCATTTCCACTTTTATTCTGTTAATCTTGTATTGATTTATTTTTGTAATTTGGCGCTCTCACTGCTCCATATCAGTCATTCAGAAAGCACAGCTGCGGTTCTAAAACACACACCAGTGGCCTGTTTTCATTTATTTATTTTTTCATGATATATGTATAATTTGGTAAATGTTTTTTTTTTTTTTTCCTTTATCTGTTCAGTTCTGTTTTGATCATTTGCAGAAATGTGTTGCTCGTTTGTTGTTTTCATTGTAATCTGTATCAGTTCATTCATACATCCTTTGTTTTTGTGCGTTCTGCTTTGTTGCCGTCGGTGACATACAGGCGATGACTGTAAAGGGAAGCAGTACTCTGAGACACACACCGTCCTCCTCACACAGTCCTCCAGGTCTCAGCGCCTGGTGGGGGCGCTGTGGGGCGCCCTAGTTTATGCAGGTTAACAGCACTTTTCTTAATGTTGATGGCACCTTGTAAATATTCTGTATGTGTCGGTCCCACACATTCAGAGCTCAAGCCGTTTGTAGCTGTAGACCTTTGGTGCTGACCGTTTGGACTCTGTCTTCCAGGTCACTGCCTCCTCCAGCCGGGTTACTGTGTGGTGAGAGCCGGCAGAGCGCTGGGCTCCGGGGTTGGGTCGTCAGCTCAGAGGCTGCTGTCTCTGCTCTGGATGCTCCTGGCAGCTCCAGGTTGGTTCAAATGTGCTTCTTCTGCTACTTTCTAGGGCAGTATACGCTCACCAACCGCTTTATTAGCTTCACCTCGCTAGCGTCGGGAAAAGATTCAACAAGGTGCTGGAAACATTCCTCTCACAATTCGGTCCACGATGACTCGAACGCATCTGTAGCTGCTGCAGGTTTGTCGGCTGCTCGTTGGGAATCTCTCGTTGCACCACAGCTGCTCTGCTGGACTGAGACCTGGTGATTGGGAGTTTGTTTATTACGATCACATTAGCTTTTTGCAAGGCAGCAGCTATTCTTGTATGTATGTACGCACAGTACATACAAATCACAGGATTACAGGATGTACACACACATTACAGACTACATACATGTCCACAACGCACACCGAACCAACCAAACAGACAACACAAGTTGAATCATCATAAGAAATAGATTTTGTCCTTCTACCCAACAATCATAATGATGGAGGAATGGTGTGCCGTAGAAACAGACCAGGATTTCTGTGGGGTCCAGTGAAGTCTAGAAACCAGTCTGAGATGACTCGAGCTTTGTGACGTGGAGTGTTACTCTGCTGGAGGTAGGAGTCAGGAGGTGGCTCACTGCAGTCAGCAGCCAGGTAGACTGTGGAGTTTAAATGATGCTCAGTTGGTGCTGAGGAGCCCAACTTGAGCCCCAACATCACCACACCAGCAGGGGCCTGAAGCGCTGCTACGAGCAGGATGGATCCACGTTTCATGTTCACGCCAAATCCTGAGCATCCGAATGTCGCCGCAGAAATGGAGACTCACCAGACCAGTCTTAGGCATTAGACATTAGAGGTCTTTCAGGATAAACGTCACGTAATAACGCCGGTGCATGCGACACGGGGGTGGCCGGATTAGACATTTGCCTTAACGAGCGGGTGAACACCTGATAAAGCGGCGGCTGAGTGTGGTCTGACTGTGTTCTCATTCTTTGTGTTTGTGTTTCTTCTGTCCGGCAGTGAAGGCAGGCCGCGGCCTTCTCTGGTTTCTGGCATCAGGATGGTACCGGCTGGTGTCGCTCATGTCTCTGCTCAACGTCTTCTTCCTGACACGGTGAGAGTCCCGCCGCCTTTCTGAACCCTGCAATGTGTAGAAAGAAAGCAGCTTCTACGATGACTACGTGACCGTGTGGACGTGTCTTTCAGTGATGAAGCTGTTCTAAATGATCATGTTTTAGATGCTAACTTTTATTCTGCAGCCTATTTTTATTTATTTTTTGACCAAAGCAACCTTCAAAGTGTAGAGCTTGTTCATGTTTCAGTTCACACTCGTCTTCCTGACTTGGCAGCATCCGTTGCAACCCTACAGACCGTCCAGAACGCTGCTGCCACAACAACCAACCCTGGATCCCTGTTTCTTTTAGAACTGATTTTAAAGTCCTGTCCTCCTTGTGTGTGTTCTGTGGAGCACTTTGAGCAGCATTATGTACGTAAGCTGCTGTGTCAGTGAAGTCGTTCCAGCTTGTTCGTCGCCTTCCTGGTTCTTTCAGCCACTGCGGCTCCAACATTTAGACATTTCCTTTGGGAGCTGGTGGAGGCCGACATCAGAGATAACAGAGAACCAACACTGGACTTGAACCCACCAGAAGTCCAGAAACATGTTGATGTGCAGACGTGTTGTGAACATAATACGACGTGTCAGCCCAGTGACCTTTGCAGGATGATTTTAGTCACTGCAGGGTTAAAAGTTCAAAATTACTTTCCTGCATAACTGTTGGGACTGAATGACTGCACTTGGTTAGAAAATTTCAGTTGTTCAGTGTCTTGTGCTAAACGCTACGTGGGGCCTGCAGTTGGGATTCATGAAGCTGACGTTCTCCCGCTGGTGTGTCTTTATCTGACCAGCTTGTGCTTCTGTGTTTCAGATGCCTGCCCAAACTGTGGAAGCTCCTGTTGCTCCTTCTGCCCCTTTTGCTCCTCCTCGGTGAGTTATCGAGAACTTCTTGTGCTCTCTGAGTCTGCCACAGATGTAACCCATTTATAGTGAGCGCGTAAAGAGAAAAATCTGTCTGTGGGAGATGTTACAACCAGCACACATCCCCAGAGTGTGCAGAGAATCCAGGACCAGATTCAGGTCAGCCTTCTTCCCAGGGCCGAGGTTCAGTCACATTCATTACGTCTGAATACCTCGCCGTTTACATTCTGGGTCGTTGCGCTCTGATTTTTTTCTTTTCTGCCATAAACTGTTTACGTTCCTGCCTCTTGCAGCAACTGTTTCTGACTGGATGGAAGGAAATCTTTAACCCTCTGAACATTTTTTTCTTCCTGTCACATTTTTATTCGCTGCGGCTCATTTCTCGCTGCAACATGAAGTCCTGCAGCTCTGTGGAACCAGCAGAACCCGGGCTGGAAGCAGTGATGCAGTCTGTGACAAAGTTATAGTGCCATGAATCAGGAAAAAATTAATAAAAACAAAAGATTAATTCATCTGATTGACTTTTTTAAATCCTTGAAATCAATATTTTTTTTTAAAGTGCCAACAGTTTGTTTCTGTACTGGGGGACAAACGGTGGCTCCACGCGCTGCAGATACTTTACTACTTACGTTGTCATATGTTCATACGTGTTGCCTGCACTGTAGGAAAAAACAAAACAAAGCAAAAATCCTGCAGTTCAGCCAAAAACAACCCAGAGCCCATGATAAGTAGCTGGTCGCACTGAGGAGGCAGAATTTGTAGTCACCAGCGGTTTATTTTTAAATGAGACATTTAGACTAAAAGGATTTTAGCTGAAGGGAAGTCGCGCACGATTAGTTCACGGAGCGACAGAAAATCATCTTATCTCCAGTTTTACAGTTTCTTTTTTGGCCTTTGTGCCTTTATTTGATAGAGCAGTGAGAGAGAGAGACAAGAAAGTGGGGGAGGACGTGTGGGAAAGGGTCATGAGCGGGATTCGAGCCCATGACCTCCACATTGGGACTGTAGCCCTGTAAATGGGACGCCAGCTCAACCAGGTGAGCTGTAGCGGCGCCCCGAGTTTTACAGTTTCTTGCAACGATAAATGGTTGGTGATTTTAAAAAAAATAAAAAAAAACAGTTCAGGAGTTAAATCTAAGATGCAATATTATTTTTATTATTATTTTTAGGTTTAATATAAATATTCTCAAAAAATCTTGTGCATTGCTTTTACAGTTCAGATTGTTTCAGTTGTGTGATCTTTTTAAAACATAAATGCTTTGCTGTGTTGGAGGAGGTACCGTGTTAATCCCGCTCTCTCCCGTCTGTTTGCAGCTTTATGGCTCTGGGGTCCGTCCACTGCTGCCCTGCTCGCCTACCTCCCGGCCATAAACCTAACCGAGTGGCGTCCTGCGTCTCCTTTGACCTTCTTGTCCCGCATGGTGCCGGTTCCTGCTTCTGTCCCTGCAGCAGAGCCTCCGGTGCAGCAGACTCCGGCCACCCCAGCGTCACAGGCACCGGTGAGACGGGCGGTCGCATGTATCGGCGTTACTACGTGACGTTTATCCTGAAATGCCTCTAAATTCTTTTCCTCTCCTCAGCCAATGCTTCCTCCCGTGGCTGTCTCCGGCGTGGACTTGGAGCGTCTTGAACGCGTCGAGCGCCAGCTAGCTCTGCTGTGGGAGCAGGTCCGGCAGGGAGACGAGAAGCAGGAGCAGCGTCACGGGGACATTTTGGGTCTGTACAGCACCCTGAGGGATCAGCTCCACAGTCAGACCGACAGGGAGAGCCTGGGTCTGTGGGTGTCGTCCCTGCTGGAGCAGAGACTCGGCGTGCTGCGAGGAGAGCTGCAGCAGGACGACGCGCTCAGAGAGCAGGTAGCTGCATCAGGATGCACACAGGCGAGGGACACTTGGCCCAGAAAATTCACACGTGATTAACTGTTTTTCTTTTTTTGCAGAGAGCAGAGCAGCAGAAACAACACCAAGAGACTCAGGCAGCACGACTGGCTGGTTTAGAAGTGCTGCTCAGCGCTCTGGCAGCTAAGACAGAGGTACGCACAGCAGACCGACACCTTGAAAACATGCCTGCAGGATGGATGGGAGTGTGTGGCAAGATGGCATAGTAACCTCATGATCCTCAGATCACCAAGTGTAATTTCAGAGCTTAGTTGATAAAACGCTGAAGCAAGCAAATGATCATAACATTAAGTATGAAAGTACAAAGAAACTAATAGCATGAGATGATGGACACATAAGCAACGGTGCTGAAAAGACGAGAAAGTCCTGACAAGCTCAGACAGGTGAGGACAGACGAGAGCAGGTATGAATCAGAGCTGATTTTGAGGTTTTACGTCTGTATACAAAGGAACAGTGGTGCTGGATCAAATATCTGATGGCAGGATGTTATGAGCAACAATAGCATCCAGTGTTCTTCTGTCAGGAGGGTTTTCTGTTATACTTCAGCTGGTTCATGTGTGTGTTGCAGGAGGTGCAGCAGAAGCAGCAGCAGTACGAACACGAGAAAGACGAACGGCAAAAAGAGGCTGAAGCTCCTCCAGCTGATGCTGCTGCTGTCAGGTACAAACACCAAGAGGAACCCTTCCAATTCGTAATGAGCTGTTCACGTTTTGCGAGCAGGCTTTTCAGATTGTGGCAGCTCATGTATCGTTTCTGTGTGTCGCTCAGTGTGGGGGTGAAGCAGGAGGAGCATGACGCTCTGCTGGCTGAGGTGCAGAGACTCGAGGCTGAGCTGAGTAAAGTCAGACAGGACCTGCAGGCCGTCGTGGGATGTAAGGGCAAGTGTGAGCAGCTGGACACGCTGCAGGACACGGTACGCATGTTTGAGCTATAAAGTGATGTCAGCTTAATCTGTGATGCTCCTCCATAAATTAAGAATATTAAAATTGCCCTGACATCCGGTTTCCATTCCATTTTTTTACCCAGATATCAGCCCAGGTGTCCTCCCAGGTGCGTAAAGAGTTGCAGGTTCTGTTCTTCGGCAGCGGCGGATCTGGAGAGGAGCAGGAGCTGCCCGAGTCTCTGGTCCTCTGGTTGTCCCAGCGTTACGTGAGCACACCCGACCTGCAGGCGGCACTGGCCTCTCTGGAGCACAGCATCCTGAGAAACATATCCCTGCAGCTGGAGCGCAGCCAGGCCCAGACGCTGGGTGAGGCCGAGAGCCAAGCCCAGACCATTGTGAAGACGATAACTGGGACTGTCCAGCACACCTCTGCTGCTGAAGGACTGACAGAGGAGGTAATGGATGTCAACATCATAATCAACGTGGATCTCCATCTTTATCACGTAATCTAAGCTCTTCAGAAGTGTTGGTTTGCCCTCTTGTTGAGCCTCTTGTGTGCTCTCTACCTCAGCACGTGAAGCTGATAGTCCAGAATGCTCTGAAGCTCTACTCCCAGGATCGCACCGGCCTGGTGGACTACGCCCTGGAGTCTGGAGGTAAGGAGGAAGTCTGTCCATCCTGAGACAGCGGTTCACTCCGCAGTATGTAGAAGGGATTAGCAGGCGAGCTGTTCCGTAACTCGGCACTGCGCTCTAATGTATGTCTCTAATGCAGTGTGGGTGCAGGCATTAGCTGGTTCGAGGACAACAGGGTATTAATGGCAAAAGCTCAGGCTCCATTGTCAAGTGTGTTACTGAGCAGTGCTTTGACCTACATGGAGCTCTGAATTCACAGTCGGCCAGTTTAGCGGTAAAGACCCGTGATGGAGTTGTAACGGTCCGGTTTGATTCAGGTTCCTCTGTTCTCTGACGTTATAGCTGATGTACGAGGTTTTGCTTCAACACGATCTTGGTTTGGCGCTGCTGCTGCTGCTGCTGCTGCTCTGTTTTACATCTGAGTACATCTCAGAGGTCAAGTAACATCAGAGGGTGGCTCACTTAACCTGCTGCATCTCCATGGTAACTGATGCTGCAGAGCTACATCTCCATGGTANGCTAACCTGGTCCGGAGCAGGTTCTGTTCAGGGTTTAGATTTAAATCAGCTGTAAGAAGCGTCTCCCTTCAACCAAACTCTTTCCTGATGATTCTCTCTGAGTGATTCCGATTCTGGGCTGATGCTTTAACTGTAAACCTGCTCATCTGTACGTTGCTAAAACCACTGAATGAAGCCGTCACAGTATCACTCACTGGATGCATCGTGTTGCCATGGGAACCTATATGCATCTCTGACTGGGGCTGGAAGTGCAGCAGAGTTTTTACCCACATTAGCACCTGAATGTGAATCACTGGCTTTGTTTCTTCTACCAACATGTGAAAAGTTTTTTTTAAGGCTTAATTTACCCCCAACACTGAAATATGCTGTTGTAACGAATGTTCAATCAATCAATCAATCAATCAATCAATCAATCAATCACATAATGAGCTAAATCTAGCGTATCTTATGATCAATGTCACTGGATTACAGTTTAAAAACGTGCCTCACACCTTAGATATGTTGCCTTTTCTGTGTAGCACCACTTCTAGTTTCATTAAAGCAGCACCAGAACAATTTTCCATTTCATACAGATTTGATTATTTGTTCAAAGGGGATCAGATCATATGAGGTGAGGCAGCGCGTCTCCCTCATAAACAATCTGAAAATGAAGATGCTACAAAAACAGGACCAATGAGGACAACAAGTCAGCGAACATGAGGGATGTTTTAGAACTCTATTGGCACTTCCAGAGGATAGTCTGAAGGCAGACTGTTGTGTTTCCTAATACACTGTCTGTCCTGTAAGGAAAGCTTAAACATCTGAAGCTGTTTAGACTTGGCTTTATAAAGCTGTTTCAAGATGTGGAAAAAAACTTGATAAACTGATAAAGAAGAGGCATCAGCTGTGCAGTATGAAAAGCTCCTCACTTCATTGTCCCGTCTGTTGGTATCTGACGTCATTTGTGGCCCTGAAAATGAAATGAAAATGTCCTTCCTGTTTCTGCGTCCAGGCGGCAGCATCCTCAGCACACGCTGCTCCGAGACTTACGAGACCAAGACGGCCCTCATGAGTCTGTTCGGACTGCCGCTCTGGTACTTCTCCCAGTCTCCACGCGTCGTCATCCAGGTGAGAAACATCAACAATATTTTACAGATGATGGAAAGATGAAGGGTCGAAATGGAGGCTAATGAACAGAGCGCCGTCCCAAAGGAAACTCTAGATAGCATACATGAGAAATGCAGTGACTTCAAAGTAGAAAAAGCACAAGATATAAGATTAATGAAACAAAACAAGTAGCTGAAACAAGACGAGCACAGAACAGTACAAAGTAATGCTGCTTAGTGGAAGCCACATCACACATAATCAGGTGAAAATGAAATGTTGTGCTTTACGCTGACGATGTTGTTCATGAAAGAGAAATATTACACCTGAGAAATGAAAATATGAAACATTGAACATTCGTTATTGTTATTTATGCCGGAACCGACATTGCACAAACTGTTGAGAAAAGTGATATTGCAAATGATGCGGATGTTTAATGGGACGTTTTAGCTGTGGTTGCTGCTAAAGGGGAGGAGTTTGATGTCCGCTGGTAGAGAAGTGCTGCTGAGGTTTCTGAGCTGCTCCTCGGTGGTTCAACAGTCTCACAGTCTCAGCCGCTGTTCCAAAAGTAATCGTCCTCCTTCCCCTCCGTCAGCCTGACGTGTATCCAGGTAACTGCTGGGCCTTCAAGGGCTCTCAGGGCTACCTGGTGATCCGGCTGTCGTTGAGGATCCTGCCGACATCCTTCTGTGTGGAGCACATCCCCAAGAGCCTGTCCCCGACCGGAAACATCACCAGCGCGCCTCGCAACTTCACCGTCTTTGTAAGGAACACGCCGACACGAAGCCATGCTCCAGGTAATCTAACCGTCCTTCATTAAAGGATGTTTTCACTGATGTTTTTTTACACTCAGGGTCTCGATGATGAGTACCAGGAGGAGGGCAAGCTGCTGGGACACTACATATACCAGGAGGACGGGGAGTCGCTGCAAACCTTCCCTGTTCAGGTAACGAGAAGACTTCTAACTGGTCACCATCAGAAGTACAAAAAACCCATGTGTGTGAACATCTTCTTCCGCTTCTCCTTCAGGAGCAGAACGACAAGGCCTTCCAGATCATCGAGGTGCGAGTGCTGTCCAACTGGGGCCACCCAGAATACACCTGCATGTACCGCTTCCGAGTCCACGGAGAGCCTCGGCCTCAGTGACCCAGCCGGCTCCAGACACGCTCGGATACGACATATCGCCCTCTCTGTACATAGCGCTCGCCAACTTCTTTGAACCCAGCGGGACTCGGCAGGACTTTGTGGACGTTTTTGTATGAAAGACATGAAGACACAGGAGTTGCAGATTGTTAAAGTAACGTGGCGAGACTGAACCACCGTGAGCGTGTGTTTTTGTATTATTGAAAGAATCAAAGGAAAGTCTGAATCAGGGCTGTCGAGGATTGTTGAAGAGAACCAAGGAAGAAGCAGAAAGTCCCAGTCCCCTTTTCATCAAAGGCCTCTTGCACTGAATCAGCCCACGAGGGCGCCAGGTTCCCCCTGATCCCCCTCTTGGCACCTTCCACTTCTACAGGAAGGTGGACACTTGAAATGGGGGTCGCAGACTCATCTCCACCATTTCTTCACACACTGTATCTCAGTCTGGTTAGGTTTTGTTTGTAATCATCTGTATTTAATGTGTTGTTTTTTTTTACCTTTTCCAAATAGAGTGTTCTATTTTCAGGATCCAGACCACTGCACCTTTGCCTGAGACGCTGTCCAGGCACGTCGCTCCCTCTTGTTGTTCTCAAGTCTGTTGACTGATGACTTCAGCTGAACTGTTTGAGCAGTCTGCAGGTCAGCCCTCACCGCGGGTGAACAGTGGACATGTTGATTCACTACATTCTAGGCTTGGCTTTATGCTTTCACACAGCCATAACTGAGACTATTTTGTATTTTTGTTTTTTTTTTTGGAACTGAACACGCTGCCTATGGACAAGCTCTGAATGTTTTCCCACGTGGAGGCTTGATGCAAGTTTCCTTTAACTACACAGAAACACTATAAAACCACTGACCTGAGCTCCATGTGACTCAAGTATTAGGAAGCTCTTCACTATGTACATTAGACAAGATATGTGTCTGATTATGTTTGGACTCCGGGATTAATGCTAGCATGCCACTCTTCCTGAACCGTACTCTAAACCTTTACATGCACCGTGGATTTAGGAGAGCGTGTGTCCTCTCCGAAAGCTGAATATTATAACTACTCCTTAGACAAGAGTGTGCTTTTTTTTTTTTTTTTGTTCTGTTTCTATCAAGACAAGATTCTGTGTCCCTTTAGCTCAGTTAAACGTCCTCCTCACACGGACTCCCACTACTCTGAAACCCCGAAGGAATGTAATCTGTATATTTCATTGTTGATAGTTGGTCCTTTATAATATCTACTTTTATCAGTGTTGCTTTATAAAAAAAAAATCACCCTGTCATTATTATTATTATTGTATTACTATTATTTTTACTGTTGCTCGTCGTGTTTTGCTTTTTTTCCGGTTTCGTTTTGGGGCTTTTGTTGGTTTTATCGGAGGATGCACTGCAGCAACTTGTTAGACAAAAGTTTTAACACGGGTCGTCATAATTAGTTTGAAAACGGGGATGTGTCGTCGATTTTGGTTGCAAATATGGGTAAGTCTAAAATGTTATGTGTAAAAAATGTTTTGTTCACAATCTTATTTATTAACGAGTCAATTAGTGGCTGCAAGAAATGAGTTACAGCAAATGTATATTTTGTCATAAGCTGTTCAGTGCATTTTGGAACCATCTTGGGACTTTTTTTTAAGATAAATGGCTATTTTTGTTCAGTCATGAGATGACTTAACTGCTTTGGAATATATTCCAATAAAGACTTTAATTTTGATGAAATTCTTTGAATAACAATCATGGCCAAAGTCTAAGATTACTGCTCTTTTGTGTTTGCTTGTTCTGGAGTGCTGTTGCTTTGTTGATCTTTGATGCCTTTCTAGAGCCCACATGTAGTTCTGTCTTTACCAAAACAAGCAGAAATATGAGGTGACAAAGAGTATGAAACTTTTCTATAGTTTGCACAATTTGAAATGCTTTATTTAAAAAAACCTCAGAAATCCAAAATGCCTGCAGGCTGTTTGCCTCATTTACAGACTTAACGCACAGAATCATGAAAGAATCTAAAAATTTAAAACACATCTGCAAATATGTATTATGATCTCTTTAAAGTTACTCATTTTTACTCAGTGTGTCTGTTGTGGGATAAATGATTAGATGTGTTCTTCTCTTTATTTCAGTGTTGATAGGCAGCGGTGGGCAAAAAGTATTCAGATCCTTAAGTCAAAAATACTCCATTACCGAAGGAAGGATCTTGCTTAAGTAAAAGTCCAAATGTATTGGCAGCAAGATGGTCCTTCTGACTGATGTGTTACATGTGATATTATTAGATGCTGCAGGTGGAGCTACTTTAAACTACTTTAATACGGTTTTATACACATCAGACACCTGAGGAGAAGAAAAGAGGAAAAACCTCATTCTGATCCACTCATTTCAGCATTTTTTTAAATGACAGCAAGTGAGTAGTTTAGAGGGAACATCATATATTTGGTGGAACTCGACTACCCACAACCAGGCTGGTTTCAGCTTTAACAGTGATTATTGTGTTATCCAGGGTGTAAAATCTTCAGCTCAAAGGTAACTGAAGCTGCAGTGGACGAGAAAACACAGTTTAAATTTGAGGTGAAGTGGGAATTCTCAAGTAAATACAAATGCCTCGAAATTACACTTAAGTAAAGCACTAGAGTAAGTATATTTAGTCACTTTCCACCGCATTTTATCCTTTTATGTCGCTAGAATTGCAGTACAATCAACCAGTTTATTATTATCAGTGTCCTCTGCTGCCCTCTGGTGGCGCAAGCGGAGAACATGCAGTTACACGAGAAGAAATGCTTTACTGATTTTCTTTATTTTTTTATTTTTTATTTTTTCAAACGGGTTACAATAGAAAACAGAATCGTAAAGGTCCGTTTTCGTAAAAAGTTGTAAACAAAACAAAAAAAGTTGTGTTGGTGCCGCCGTCGTGGTTTACGTCGTACACAACGTCATACGTCATAGACTACTTCCTTAGCGACCACAGACTCCTTGGCAACCCCCTCAGAAAACGGGCAGAAAGATGGCGGAGGCAAGCGGCGCCAAGAATTCAATTTCTGAACAACAGTGTGGAGGTGAGAAGACACTTGGGCTGAGATGGGGTGAAACGTTTTCCTTCCGTCAGGTGTTTGTGGACGAGGATCCTCCGGGAGACTCGGACCTGCTGGAAAAACCTCCTTCAGCTGCCCAAGCTGCTCGTGAACGTCAGAGGATTTGTCTGAATACAAACATCTGGACAGATTTCACATCAAAGCAGCGGCTGTGTCCGTCCCAGGTGACGTTAGGACAGAAAGCTGCTGCTTCCTGTGATTTTGTGGATCCAGTGTTGTGCCGGAAATAGCAGCTCCGCCGGAAATAGCTCCTCTCAGGGAGCGCAGTGACAACCATTCACCTGTAGATGGAAATAAAAAATAGTCTAACAGTAATATTTCATACCTGTCTGTACATGGTCATGTGGAAATAATAAGAACAACAGGGACAGATTTGGTCTGAGCTTACTGTGAAAGGTTAAAAATGCCTCCCTCCAGATTTACGGGGGGTGGGGGTGCATATTCTGGCAATGGGGTCTGCCGGATTATGGACCCCCCTCTATTTCTGACCCCAAAGGATTTACAGCCACCAAATTCACAACATTTATTGATGATCATGGTCTGAGCATAATCTGAAAAGTTAGAAATGCTGGGACCAACAGGGACAGATTTACTGGGGGTTTGTAATCATCTGTATTTAATGTGTTTTTTTTACCTTTTCCAAACAGAGTGTTCTATTTTCAGGATCCAGACCACTGCACCTTTGCCTGAGACGCTGTCCAGGCACGTCGCTCCCTTTTGTTGCTTTCAAGTCTGTCGGATGACTTCAGCTGAACTGTTTGAGCAGTCTGCAGGTCAGCCCTCACCGACATGTTGATTCACTACATTCTAGGCTTGGCTTTATGCTTTCACACAGCCAGAACTGAGACTATTTTTGGTTTTTTTGGAACTGAACACGCTGCCTATGGACAAGCTCTGAATGTTTTCCCACGTGGAGGCTTGATGCAAGTTTCCTTTAACTACACAGAAACACTATAAAACCACTGACCTGAGCTCGATGTGATGGTCTGTTTCTGACCCCAAAGGACTTAAAGCCACCAAATTCACAACATTTATTGATGAGCATGATCTGAGCATAATCTGAAAAGTTAGAAATGCTGGGACCAACAGGGACAGATTTACTGGGGGTGGTGGTGCATAATCCGGCAGACCCCATTGCCAGAATATGCACCCCCACCCCCCGTAAATCTGGAGGGAGGCATTTTTAACCTTTCACAGTAAGCTCAGACCAAATCTGTCCCTGTTGTTCTTATTATTTCCACATGACCATGTACAGACAGACATTAACTATTACTGTTAGACTATTTTTTATTTCCATCTACAGGTGAATGGTTGTCACTGCGCTCCTTGAGAGGAGCTGCTTTTTCCAGAAGCAGCCTGCAGATAGAAGCCAGAGTTTAACTGAGAAGGATCAAAGTCCTGCTCTATGGAGCTCTGTCTGTTGAGCTGCCTCCTTTCTGAGCTTCTCAGCTGCAGGCCTCGTTGCATCTAGAGTTCAGAAAACCACATTCAGGATCCCGGATTTTGCTGCCGTTCAGATTTGAATTGAACTTCCCGCCAGTGTTTGTGTGGATGACAAGCTGTCTTCTGTTCAAAACTGAAGGTTTTTATAATCAGAATAAAGCCTGTCTCAATCTAGCAGTGAGAACAACGTGCACACAGCAAAGTTCTGAAGTGGTTTGGACTCTGGGGACATCTTTTCACTGTGCTGCACTTCTGTAGTCCAGGACACATCTTTTGAGCTGTTTTTTGGCCTTCAGCAGTACTCGAGTACATTTTGCAGAGAGCAGTACTGAGTAAACTCTCTTCTGACCAGCAGCTGATCTGTAATCTCAAAAAAGTTCAGTGTTTTACATCAGTTGTTAAAGTAAGTGAAATTTAATATACTGTGGACTTTCTAGTTCTTTCAATTGTACTTTTAATATTTTTGGCCTACAGCTAAAAATAAACAACAAATTAATTAAATATATCTCAAAATGCAGTATTTAATTCTAAGTTTGAGTAAATGACTGTACACTCAGTATAAACACTGTGTCTCTCAGTCTAGTTCAGCATCCTATAGAGAATCTAGGAGGCATTTTCAAGAGGAAGATGAGAAACTGAAACACAAAGGAGCTGAAGGTTGATATCAAAGCGACCTGAGCAGAGTCACAGGCTGATCTCCTCCATGACACACGGAGACCCTGAGTCATGGTGAAGGAGTGACAACGAGCATCGAGTGTAGAAATGAACAGAGTTTTCAGGAGGTGGACATTCCTGTATTGTTTTGTTTGTTTAATTGATCTTATCTATTGATCTTAATTGATTCAACAATTTCCCTGAGGTTTGCACCAAACGGATCAATAAAGTTCTATTCTATTCTATCTTAGTAAATAATCAAATAATTTGACACACTGGATTTCAAAAGAAAAAAAACTTATTTTACTTTATATGTAATTAATACAGAATATGTCAGAGTTTGTGTTTTTGAATTAAATTAGTTTAGTTTTTGTTTTTTTTTAATAAATCGATATTCTAATCTTTTGAGATGCACTCATTACCCAGGCTTTATTTTTTTTAACTTGGCAGTTCAGCCTTCTCACATTTTGCACTCTAGTCTTAGATTAATCTTCAGAACACAACACAGCTTCACGGTTTTTGTCTTCAGAGGAGAGTTCAAAGCTCGTGTGACTGAAGAGTACAGCTGTCATCTCTGAACTGGATTTAGTTTTGTGTGTCTTAATCCCTCGGTTGTGTTAATGTGCTTTGCTTTGGTCCCATGTCAGCTGTTGTCATGGCTGATTTTATGCTCCTCCGTAACTCTATCATAGTGTGACTTCTCGGCCTTCCTCGAAAAATAGATTTTAAGCTTCCTGGTTGGAAAAAAAAGGTGAAATAAATAACACATTTGTTTCTGTGTGTCTGGTCCAGATTCTCTCAAAAGTTTGAAGGAGGTAGTGTTTCCGGTGCTGCAGCCTGGACTGGAGGCTCTGCTGAGGGAAGCGCGGCGACGCGGCTGCTTTGAGGTCACAGGAAAAAAAAAGCCGGCAGGCGGCTCAACGCTGAAATGATCACAGATGAACAACAAATCTGAGTTTACAGGAGTTTCTTTGTCATTGCACCGTCCCACGTCTACTCCAGAAAATACTCATCATGACAGAGCAGTAACACACACAGTGGTACTCCTGAATGAGAGCGTTTCACAGCGTACCACAGAGTACATGTACTGTGTGATGATTATACTACGTAGTACAGCAGTAAACTTAAATACAATAATGTGCAATCAAC